AATTGGAGACGTTTTATCTTGGTAACTGCAGACAGCAAAGGTATTCAAACAGGCCTTCGGCTTCCATATCCCATACGATGCAGTGTACGGCTAATTTGCCTACAAACGTCAGGTGGTCATAATAATCTGGCCACTCAGTATATATGCTAATTAGACAGGAGCCAGGGCTGCAGCCAGGGGATGGAGGCAGCTGCTGTAGCTGTGAGGGACGGAGGGATGGATCCAGGCAGCCACCGCAGCTGTGAAGGCCTACTCTTGTACGAATTTTGTACATTGGGCCTCTAGTATATATATATTCTGTGATGGCATTGCAATCTATAATAATAAAAGCATAATATGCTAATTAGACCAGACAGCCGAATGACCTTCTGGAGGTACTTCCAGACGAAGCTGGGGTGGCAGGGGCTGAGGCAGAGGTGGTTAAGGTTGATCAGGCAGGCAGAAAGGTGGGCTATCAGCAGGCAGGCAGGCAAGCAGTTAGGGGTGATCAGGCAGGAAGGCAAGTGGTTAGGGGCAATCAGGCAGGCAGGTGAGTGCTTAGGGGTGATCAGGCAGGCAGGTGAGCAGTTAGGGGGGTATCAAGCAGGCAGGCAGAGTGGTTAGGGGCAATCAGGGGCAGGCAGGTGAGCAGTTAGGAGCCAGAGGTCCCAGATTGCGAGAGGGTGCACCCGGGTTAGGGGCCCCCCCCCCCCCCCGCATGAATTTCATGCACTGGGCCTCTAGTAGTCATGTACACTTTGTTCTAAATAACATAGCAACCAAATCAAGTCTTCTATAAATACAAAAAAATACTTGAGACAAATATAACTTGAATTTGAAATATGAATACACTTTTAAAATTTTACAGATCAAGTTAGCAAAAAATAACAAAGAATAAAGATTTGATTAAGGATATCAGCATGTACTGATTATTTGATTGATTGTCTCATTTCTTATATCCAAAGAACATTATGATATTGATTATGTCTTTAGCCAAAGAAATATTTTTGTCACATTCAAAAATCTACAAGCTACGATCTGTATTAAAAATCAATATATAAAATAGAGTTCTTGAAAATTAAGAAAATCCCTTAACTAGATTAAAAGGAAATAAAAATCAAAAATACAAATTATTTAGAAAAGGATACAAAGAAGAATAGAACTCAAGCTAACTGATGTGGAAAGGTACTATTTGGGAGCCAGTATTGTTTGATGGTGAGCAGACTAGCTAGAGCTGTGTGATTCTGGAAAAATTACTTAACTTCTCTGAGCCTCAGTGTTCTCACCATTGTAAAATGGTGATAATAACAGCACTTCCCCATAGCTATGTGCTGAAGATTAAATAAGAATGCACATAAAACACCTTGGAGTCTAGCGCATCATAAGTGTTCTCGAATGATTTGTATCTAGTTGTCTTCATTCTTTCCTCCACTTACTCTCTTTCCTCATTCCTCAAATTTCTCACTTTCAAAACCCTCTACAATGTGTTTCTATTACTTTTGTAAGAAAAAATACATAAAAATGTCTAATGGAACTATTTCATTGCTAATCACATTTCTAATGAAATTCGAAGGAAAAAAGCTTCAACAGAATAAGAAATATAATCATCCTCAGTTCAGCATAATCTGGTGTTCCTCCTCCTTTTTGCTGGTGGAGGTGTGCAGAGGTGGGAGGACAGTGCAAATCATCTGAGAACGGTTTAATCTGTGGCTGTTCCAAACAGAAAAGGCTCCGATTCTGAGAAGGCTGCCAACTGGGCCCTACCGGCATTTCTACAAGGAGTGCTGCAGCCTTCTTTGTCTCAGAGGAGATGTAGCAGGACAGGAAGCAAAAATAGCCAGTGAGGCTCATGGGCTTTTCCTTCTAAGAGCCTCATTTTAGAAGAAAGAATAGAAGCCATTGGTGTACACTTTTCCCAAACCTCTTGCGACCACTCCCGGACGGGAACGAGTCTGCAGAGGATGGGCAGTGGGAGAGGGAGCATGACCGCGGAGTCCTAAGACAGGAAGCATCCAGGCAGCATGTCCAATAACTGAAAAGACCCCAGGAAGAGCAGGCCGTGGGACACACAGGGCCAAAGTGGGTAACCCCCGAGACAGCCCCATGCCCCAAGGGGAAGCAAGAGCAACTCCGAGTCCAGGACATAGAAGGCCATGTCAAATGAACAGGTGGGTGTCCGTCCAGCAGTACCTGGCCTCTAAGGACAGATTGTGCAAGGACCAGGTGGGAAACCACTGTTGGACATGGTCCTGTGGAAGCCCCGGGGAGACGAAACAATCTTAGGTGAAAAACAAAACAAAACAAAACAACAGAATAAAGGTAATATCAAAGTTTCCCAGTTACCCAACAGAACAAAGGTTCAAAATGAAATTTATTTTAGAAAATAAAGTAATACTTTCTTGCCCGTGTAAGTATACAGAGTTAGACTTATCTTTGCCACCATACTCTTCCCCACCCTCAAGGCAAACCCTCTGCCTAGCCGTAGAACCACCTGACCTGCTACCTAGTCCTGATGAGAAGTCTCCTCTAGCGTCCATAGTCACCACGCTCTTAACAGTGATCCTAAGGGGGGAGGGGGGGGTCTCCCTCCTGGGTTTGCAACCCTTTTAGGAGACAGACCTTGGAGACACAAGTTCAGTTGTGTTGCTCTGAGCTGTGCTACGTCGACCACCTCGGAGGTCCTTCCATTCTCCTCCCCTGCCCTTCTCCCACGTGGCAGTAAGGAAATTGAGGATGAGAGTAGAATCATGCCCCTGGTCCACAGAGCTGGGTGGAGTGGAGCTGTAACTGCCTGGTGGGGTGAGACATGGAGCGTCCTCTCTCTTCTTTGGTTCAGGCAGGGGTTCTTTCTCACAGCCCCAGCGACTCAGCCTTCCTCGCCCTCCCAGGAGCTAATGACTCATCCACACCACAGCCTTGCTGCTGCATGGGACACTGCCCCACAGGCATGGCCGGTCTCTCTCTCTCTCTCTCTCTCTCTCTCTCTCTCTCTCTTTCTCTCTCTCTCTCCTCTATCTCTACTTATCTCCCTCCCTCCCTCCTTCACATCCATATTCTCTGAGCTCGTCCTGGGGCTTGGCCTATAACAGGTACTCAATAAATATATGTTGACACTGATTCCATTGCTATGTAATTGTTGCATTAACCTGATGACATAATTATTAGATTGACAAGAACATCTATACTTTTTATACAAAGCACTTTGTGTGTGTCATCTCAAACACAATGACCTTCTACAGGTATCATCACAGACATTACACAGTTTAGTTTGTGCAATGTCCCAAGGTCATACACCTACTGTCTCCATCCAGATCAAAGCCACATAAACTGTGATTGCGTTCCTCCAGCTAAAACTGTCTACTGCCCTTTAAATTTGCTCAGTGGGATTCACTTTTTTCATCTGCCCCTAAGATTAATTTCTTGGACTTTCCAGTCATTTCTGGTTATTATAAAGTCTTGTAGTCATATGAAGTCACAAAGCTCAGTCTTGACTGTGAAATTAGAAGGTCTGGCTTTATGTAATAATCAACTCTGCAATCTTAATTTGAAAATAAGACTTGCCCTCTTCTGCTAGGGTTTCCTGCAGTTACAAAGCTCTCTCTTCTTGCTATCCTCTTTTCCTAACTGTTACCCACTATTTCTTTTAATTTATTAATATTTTAAGTATGGAAACTTTTAAGAACACACAAATGTAAAAGAATAATGCAATACATCTGTCACTCACCTTCAGCAATTATACCTCACCAGCTCACGACCAATATTATTTCAACTACTTCCCCCCACATCAGCCCATCAAGAAGGTACAAGAGCAGGAAAAGCTCTTACCTGAGTAACAGTGTTGTACGCTCTTTGTTCTCTGGGCCTGGCCAGCATTTAAAGCACATATTTCTTTGGTGGGGAGCTGTGGTGGGTTCTCCACAGAATCCTCTGCAGGCACGTCTGTGGTGAGTGACTTACTCTCTCTGCAGCGCCTCAGGAATTGAGGGCCCAGGGTTTTTCAGCTGAGGTCCCATCAGCCCTGCAGGCAGCCTGCCTGCACAGCAGTGGCGATACCCAGACCAGCTCCCTCACTGGCAGAGCCTTCATCTGTTCGGTGGGAAACTGTCCGAGGAGGTCATGGAGAGAACGACCACCGGTTGACCCGCCAGCTGGACCCAGGCAATCAAAGGCTCCTCACCCCCTCCCTTGTCCTTGAAATCTGCATTCTGCTTGTCTTCCCCGAGCTGGGAGCTGCCCCACGGGCACAACCATGAGACAGGAAGGTGGCGTTGAGACCATCTGGACCAGACAGATGACGGGACCCAGACAAGGCCTCTCTATGAACTTTGAAGATTCTGGTGAGTGAATGCGGAGATCTGTCCATCTTGCAGCCACCCAAGAGAAGACTCGGATGTATAATAAGTTCCCTTGCTTATTAATCCTGCCACCACCAATCTAGGGTGGTTTCTCTCCTTTTTCAGTCTCTCCATGCCCTCTGTGGACAGGGGCCAGTTTGTGAACCAACAAAAACACTCAGGCAGCCCTTGTCCTCATAAATTCTGGGAGCACAGGGAGATGTCAACCCAGCCACCTCTCCTCCAGGTGGTCCATCTGCAACCACCCTCGCTCCCAACCTTCACATCTCCTGGGACCTTTGCTAAGCTCGCATGGTAGTTCTATAGACACACCTTTTACTCTGCTTAAAGTGAGGAACAGACACCCCAAAACCTTTCCAAAAAATTGTTTCTCCTTCCCTACCCTTCCATTCCCTTAATGTGAAGTAAAGTCTGTGTCCCAAAACAGTGCCACTCTAAGTGGGCTTCCAGCGAGCTAGAGGGAGAGCTTGTGCTGAGTTGGACGTCATGCAGAGCTTCCTTTGTCTAAAAGTCTTGTGTTAAATGATGCCAGCGGGACTAAACACTGTGCTGGGAATACCTGACCTGCTGTCTGGTCCCAGTCCCCTGCGTCATGCAGACTAGGAACAAACAGCTCCTGGACTGGCTCACACAGTTCCCGGCCATTTGCTTTGGAACGGACCCACCTGGAATCAGTGTCAACTGAACGGAATACAGCACTGGTTGTTCCTGCCGAAACCTGGGTCCTCCATCAAAACTGAGACAGGATGGATCCCCTGATAACACCGAGGTCTGGGAGAAAAGATGAAAGACGCGGACCTGAATGGAGAAATTACCAAGATCCAGATTCTAGGAAGGTTTTGTAGGCATGGCCTCCGGGTCTTGAGTTCTGCTCCTCTGAGGTGGTCACCTGCAGTCCTGTAGGTCACCTGGCTTCCACTTTACACTGAAACAGACCACGTGGCTCCACCCCATGTCCCTGCTTCTCACAGTGCAGAACAGGCAGGCCTGGCTTCCCACCCCATGTGCTGGGTTTCTTGTGTGTGGGTTCTCTCCCCGGGTCTATTTGCCTTTCCTTCACATCAGCACAGGACCGAGGAGTTCATGTGTCTCCCTCAACCCTGAAGGGGCTCCCTCTGAGATGCATGTTCTACACTGAGGCACAAGCACAGGCACAACCTCACATCCACAGCCCCGGGGGCTTTCCAGGGAAGACCCTTCCAGGCCAGCACCTTCCAGAGAGAGGCTCCTGGAGCCTGCAGCGAGGTTGCCGCTTGGCAGGCAGGAGGCCCTGGGAGGAACGTGCACGGCAAGGGGCAGCATGTGCTAGCTTGCCCGTACACATTTCATCAACATGTGCTGAGGGCCAATGCTACAGGCACCGGCCATCAGAAGCCCGTGAGGAGAGGCCTGTCCCTGTGGCTATCACCATAGTCTTTCCAAAGGGAGTCTAGGTGGACACTTAGAAACTGCTCACCTAACTCCTCCTGGACCACCCACCTGGGCTTCCCATTATCCATTACCTAGATCTCTCATTGCTGATCTCCAATTCCCAAGAGACCCGGAACTCAGACTCTCCACCTCCCTGCTGGGTGAGGAGTCCCAGGGGTGCAGGGGCCCACCTGCCTCTCTGGACGCAGCTCCATGTCCTCTGCTGCGCCCGGCCCCTCCTGGCTCTGCGGTCACTCTCACCCCCCGCAGAGGGGGCCCCAGCTCCTACGCACCCCGCTCCCTGGGCAGCTCAGGACTCGAGCCCTGCCAGGGACAACCAGAGACAGCCAGGCGGAGGCCAAGAGTCCAGAAAACTCACCAAAAGGAGGAAACTCCAGGGAGGAGGCCGGTGAGAAAACAACTACAGGCAAATGTCAATACAAGGTTTTAGGTCAGAACATCTACTCTGCAATATAGGAAGGAGTCCTGGAAATAAAAATAAAATAAAATAATTGTGTGATATAAGGAAAACTGTTTCTTCTTTCTGAGCTTCTGTTTCCTCACCTTGAAAATTCAAACTAGAATCTTCTTTGGGGGCAGGAGGGAGAGGGTTTGAGGACTCAGTGAGCTGATGTGTGAAAATATTTTGTAAAAGTACAATAAAGTGGAAGGGGTTGGGTAATATTTCAGTAAATTCTTGTTCATATTATATAGTTCTCATTATATATTAATGGGCATAGTGACTATATGGCATTATCCTTCTAACATGAGTGAAATTCATCACAAACTATATCAAATCTCTCAGGAAATCCTGCCAGTAGTATCTCCAGACTGTACCCAGAATACTCCACTTGGCTCTGGCTGCGGCCACCCTGGCCATGCTGCTCCAAGCCCCCAACCCTGGCATCCTCTCTCCCTGTGCCCACTCCCACAGGCAATTTTTAAAATTGTGGTACAATCTATACTAATAAAAGGGTAATATGCAAATTGGTCATGATGCCCTCACAGTCACGACCAGATATGCTAATTAGTCATGACCAGTATGCAAATTGACCATCACTCCAACACACCCAGATGGCCGCCCCTATGTGGCCACAAGATGGCCTGCAGAGGAGGGCAGTTAAGGGAGACCAGGCTTGCAGGGGAAGGCAGTTGTGGGCAATCAGGCCTGCAGGGGAGGGCAATTAGGGGCAACCAGGCCTGCAGGGGAGGGCAGTTAGGGACGACCAGGCCTGCAGAGGAACAGTTAGGCATCGATCAGGCAGGCAGGGGAATGGTTAGGGGGTAATCAGGCTGGCAGGCAGAATTGGTTAGGGGCAATCAGACAGGCAGGCAGGTAAGCGGTTGGGAGCCAGCAGTCCTGGATTGTGAGAGGGATGTCTGACTGCCTGGTGGGATCGGGCCTAAACAGGCAGTCGGACATCCCTTTAGGGGTCCCAGATTGGAGAGGGTGCAGGCTGGGCTGAGGGACACCCCCCTACCCCAGTGCACAAATTTTGTGTACTGGGCCTTTAGTAGTAGATGATTCTCTTTAAACATAAGTCAACCACGTCACTCTGCTGTATGAACATCATGCTCCCCATGTTCCAGAAGGCCCCCAGGCGGTAGTCTCCTGGTGCCTGTCCCTCTCCCCCTTGTCCTCTGTGCTCCGGCCATGCCAGCCTCCTGTGAACCTCAAAGGACAGCTCGCCCATGCCTCTGAGATCTGAACTTTAATCTCTACTTGGAGTGCTTTCCCCCAGGAGTCTGAAACTTACTCCTCCCCTTCCTCAGGCCTCGCTCAAACACCCCCACCTCGAAGAGGCATTCCCGAGCCCTGGTATCAAAAGCCACCAGCCCCAGCTCCACCTCTGGCCCCCGTGCCCTCCTCCCTTCTCCACAGCCCCACACCCACTCGCAGATAGATAGCTGCTTGTTCGCCTCTGCCTAGTAGGCTGGCATTTGTCGGGGGTATGCATTTTGTTTGGTTCACTGAAGAGTGAGTGGAACAGGGCCATTCCCTAGTACATGTTTGTGTGCATGCATAAATAAATGAGTAAATCTATCTGTGACCAACAACATAGGCAACTCAGAGAATGTTCTTAATATCACACGGGGCAAGAGGTATCACGCACTTTGTACTATGCACAGTGATGTGATTCGGGTTCTTGGTGCCCTGGCACTGGGATGAATCAGGAGACCTCAGTACCCCCTTTTCCTGTGTGTCAGAAAGAACTTGATCCAAGCCACAGCCTTTATTCTTGCCATAGATGCACAGGCGTTGGCCTTCAACAAGGTTTTCAAGCATCCAGCATGGACCACTGTCCCTTCCGATCGCACAGACACTTCACAGCAGAGAAAGCCAGCCCCCCACCTCTGGGCTCTGTTTAATCTCCTCGATCCTCTTTATGAAAGTTAAAGTGGTCAGAAGCTGAGAGGCACCGGTGGGCAGCCAGCACCATCGATTTCTCCCTCCTGGCAGGACCAGGTGGCCAAATTGTATGGTTACAAAACAGTAAGATGGCCTGGTGGGGTCCCCCTGCAGGGTTCTTCCTGATCCCCGCCTCCTTCCACTGCATCTCACAAGACCCCTGTTTCTCTCTCCTCCCACACGGACCTTCCAGACCCATGGCCAGCACAGCTTCCGTAACCAGCCCGGCGGGCGGTGTCTGCCGTTCTTATTTTTAGACCTGATGTTGTTCCCAAAGAGAAAATGAAAGCAAATAAAACTCCAGCCGCTGTATTGATCTCGTTATTTCTAAACATGGCTAGAGCAACTAACAGGGGATTGATAGCCAGTATCTTTCCTTCCTCCCCACGCCCTGTCCACCTCACCGGCCGCCCAGGAGCAGGCCTGCCCACAGCATCAACACCTTTCCTCCTCGAGGCCTCTGTCCGGGACATGGAGAGCAGAGCTGCTCAGGGGCCAGAGCCAGGCAATCAGCTCTGTCCACAGGGTTTGTTCCAGGACAGACCAGCCCCCACCCCACTTGGGTCTAGAGCAGGGGTGGGCAAACTTTTTGACTCGAGGGCCACAATGGGTTCTTAAACTGGACCGGAGGGCCGGAACAAAAGCATGAATGGAGTGTTTGTGTGAACTAATATAAATTCAAAGTAAACATCATTACATAAAAGGGTACGGTCTTTTTTTTTTTTTAGTTTTATTCATTTCAAACGGGCCGGATCCGGCCTGAGGGCCGTAGTTTGCCCACGGCTGGTCTAGAGACTCTAAGATGACGCATAAAGGGAGGTTGAGCGGGGAACTGATCACTGTCATACACTGTTGAAAACACAGGCAGAAGAAAAAGCAAGGAACCTGCAACATTTTAAAGAATCAAGTTTAAAGCTGGCCTGTCCCTGCTTCCTCTGAGGGTCTGGGACTCCTCAGCAACCCTGGCTGTGAGGTCAGACATCGATTCCACTCCAGGCTCCTCAGGGACCTGGTGTGCCTCACCCCCACTCCATCCCACCGGAGGCCTGGC